TACAGCAAGAACATGCTAGTGTTTCCTTCAAGATACACTTCGGCTTTCCTGGCAGTGACAGGACCTATGGCTGGTACCTATCACCTTTCCCCAGCAATGCTCAGAATCCTCAGTTCCCTTGGTAGTGGCATTGCAGTCAGAGGAGCACAGAGAGCTCACCATGAGCCTAAAGGGAGGGACCCCACCTGGGTCTGGACTGTGACTCAGTTTCCCCACCCACCAAACAGCACATCTGGCTTGGGATACCCTCAAAAATGAAATGAGACAAGACAAGCATAAGCAACTGGCAGGGGATGATGGGCAGCCAAGATGTTCTGACCCTCGCTCCTGCTAAGCAACCCCCACTCCACCTCCTCCATGTGGACACAGACTCCACCTGAGTGTCTGTCTACTGTCCTGTGGCCATGAACGAGGCCTCTGAGGGTCACAGGGAGATACACCTAAAGCTGGGTGCACAATGAGCAGCTGCCCAGAATATGGTAGGAAGCCTGTACATTATAGTCAGCAAAATTAAAAGGAGCTTTCAGAAAACCTGAGCCCGATGTGGGTGGTTCTTCCTCGTCCACCTTAATCCTCTCCCTCACCCTGGCAGGGACCTGACCTCCCCAGGCAGTATCTTGCCATCTCAGCTCTCAGGGGGCAGTGGCCCTCATGGCCCTGGGTACCCACCCCACCCCTGCCCCTGCCAGCCTGTGCAGACCCGATCCCACCCGAGAAGTCAGGAGGGGAGGATGTACCCTGGCTCCAGCCACAGAACAACTCCAAACAGTGCAGTCAGAACCATGATAGGTCCAGCTCATGCCAGATCAAGACAAGAGGGATGCTTGCCAGAGGACATAGGGCTACAGGAAGCCTACCTGTGACAGCTCTAGGATATCCCCTGCAGCCCAGAAGAGAGCTGATGGTGGGACTAGGCCAAGTGTACAGAGGCCCACCCACCACTCTGCAGACACCCTACTTGAGCCTGCACAGGGAGCAGCCATTGCACTTCCCCCTGAACAGGGTGGGGGACTCTTCACTGTGACCCTTTCACTCTGTGTGGGCATTTTCCACCCAGGCATATATGCCCACTTCCAAAATTCATCCCAAAGGGAGGGGAGGGGAGGGCCCAGCACAGAGCCCAGAGTCTGGTCTGTGTAGGACAGTGGGTGACAGGGCTTGATACCAATGCTCAGGAAAGCCTGGTGCTGCTAGTGACGGAGGGAAGACACACATAGGGGGCACTGAGGGCCAGTGCCCTCAGGACAGCTAGGGGGTCGGGGGAAGGTTTGCTGGGAGCTCTGCATGGCAGGTTCTCAAAGCCTCTGCCCCTCCCTGGCTTTGTGGCACCACTGCTGTGAAATCCTCTGGTTAATGGGCCATTTTCCTGCTGGTTAATGGTACTGGTTAATGGTTACCAGTCTCTGAGACCAGCAGGGAAACCAGTCAGCTGGGCAGGAATGGCCCAAGAATGCACAGCTGTTTCTGAGCCACAGCAGAGCTCAGTATGTGTTCTAGGACATGGCCTGAAGCGCAACAGCTGTGTGTGTGCTCTGTGAACTGAATCTTGGCTTCCCTGGCTCAGGGGCCACCATGTAGCCCTCAGCTGGCCCGAGTGCACCAGGTTTGGGTGTGGCCGATGGCAGCCCCGACATGAGGTTATGGGGGGCAGGAGCACATGTCTGTGTGACAAACAGACCAGAGCAGTAAACATGCTTGGCTCATCCCATTCCAGAAGGCTTGAGTGCCTCTGAGGTCTGAGGCCCACGGGGGTCACTGGCTCCTCGGTGGTGGGGTGGTTGGGCCAGGTTCTGGCCAGAGGCCTTTTACCTTCTCCTCCCTTTGAAATCCATCTTAAGTTGGCTGCTGCCCTTCCCCAGATATGTGGGGCCTCTTGTGCGGTGCAGGGGAGAGCTCTGGAGACAAATCATGTCCCAGGTGGGGGCAACACTGTGAGGAGGACAGCACTGGCCCATCCCTTCAGGGAAAAAGAGGAAACAGGTGCACATAGGACCCAAACACCACTGACCAGGTCCTCTCTGGCCAGAGGGATTTTCAGAGACTGCCAGTTTTCTTCATCATTTTCATTCCCAGGGAACCATTCTGGGAAGAGAAAGTTACTACTGTGGCTGAACATACCTTCTAGGTGCAAAGCAGCCTCTTCTGCTCACCTGCCCGGCTGGAGACCTCACTTCCAGACTCCCACACCCAGGGCCCTTTCTGAGCACCTTCTTCTCGTCACTCTCCATGGGCTTAGAGAAGCAATGCACCATCTCGCCCACCCCCGCCTGTGGCTCCGGGAGTTTCAGCTGCTCAACCATGGCTCACGATGGCTCTGAACTCCGAACCCCCTTCTAGAGATTTTAAAAGATGTTTCCAAATTGTCCCTGTAACCAACACAGCAACAAGCACCTTGTGGCTCCATCTTGAGCACATCCTAACTGCTCCTGCAGACTTGGTTCCTAGATGCATAGACAGTGGCCAAAGGGCAGAGACCAGTGCTGCCAGACTTCGTTCTAGAAACTGCAGCTTGGACTCCTGCCATAGCCCAGGGAAACATCAAGGCCCTGAACAGCCCTGGATGAAACCCTACCTCTCCTTTTTTCAACTTAAGAGTTTGCAGATGGGACTGGCCAGGTGGGGGTGCTTCACCAGCTGTCAATTCAGAAGTGACCCCCTGACAGTAGAGGGGACAGTCAGCCAGCTCAGTGCCCCTGAGAGTACAGAGAACGGATGCAAATATGAACCTGGCAAATGGACAGGTGAGCATTTTGCTCTGGCAGACACCGCCCTGGGGACCAGATGCACTCAGGTGCAGCCAAACTCTCCAGGGAATGTGGCAAATGCCATAGAGGTGTTCTTCATCATTTTCTGGGAATGAAAATGATGAAGGAACCAGCCAACATTGGACTCAGCTGCATGTCTTCATGGCCCGGCTTTTGTGGAGCACCCAGCCTAGGCTGGGAGGTGGCCAAGACAGATCTGACACCCACCCAGGAGGTGTGTGACGCTGTGATCCTATGCCAGATGCACTGCATTCACGTCTTAGGAGGACATGCACCAGGAGCAAAGTAAGCTCGTTCCGGGTTCTCTTAAGGCCATGTTCTTTTGCACAGGACTCTCTAAGTGAACAAGGTCCCCATCTAGTGGTAGATGAGGATACTGAAGGACAGAGAGAGGTCCCAAGCAAAGGAGCCTACAGATGGGGTCTCAATCTTCAGTCCATCAGCTTCATGGGCCTCTGGGGAACAGGTCCTTATCATCCACTAATGAGCCTGTTCCATCTAGCCCTGCTGGGTTTCTGCTTCTCATATGCACGCTACCTCCTGCTCCATCTCTAACCCTGCAGGTGGGGTACAGAGAGCAAAGTGCCCTTCTCATTTCTTAGGAACACATAGGCTCAGCTGTGCTCATGCAGCAGAGCAACTAGGAGAACTAGGAGAGGAGAGCCGAGGCATCCTGCCTCCCCCACGACCATCTGAGTGACTGTGCACATGAAGCCTGGCACCAGATCAGGCCCTTCACACCTGGCAAAGGGGAGGGCCATGCATCCCATCAATGTCCAGGAGGAGGATGAGGTCCGGATGTCACAGGGGCAGACCCAGAGCCTGAACCTATGTAGCAAGCCAGGGAAGAACAACGCCTCCCTTGCCACATGGCCTCTCCAGCCCTCATACGGGCTCACAAAGGGAAGAGCCTCCTTGTGAAGAATCACAAGCTGGCCCGCCTGGAGCTCAATGCCTCTGTGCCAGACTATCTATAAACTCCATTATGCTTAAGAAAGCCCAGGAGGGAAAAAAAAAAGCAGGCAAAGAATGATTCTAAAACTAAGGTGGTGGGACCTCACATCTGGAATGGATGTGGCTCTCAGGCTTTCCACAGGAATTCAGGGGATATGGGGTATGGCTCAGGAGAACCTAAAAGCATATCTATGAGTATCCATGAGGGATCTTGCTGAAAAGTGAACACTGACCCTGGTGGCCCTTTCTGTGCACAAGCTTCTTCCCACAGCTGCTGAGGGCACAGGGTGTCTATGGCCACCAGAGGGCGCCATGGGGGCCAGTCTGGCTACAAACCTAGGCTAGCCCCGCCCTTAACACAGATCTCCAACCCCTGGGGAAATGTCCCAGGGAAGATGGCAAAAGGGTGACCACAAGCCTCCAATGGGGCTGATGGAGGCATGGGGAGATTAGGGGGGTCGAGAACTTTTGGGATGTCTCACCGACCTTGACTGGTATTGGTGTGATGGTCAGTTTGTGTGTCCCCAGGCCAGGCTGTAACCCCAACATCATTAGTGCTAATCTGGGTATGCATGGAAGTATTCTGTACACACAGTGACATCCCAAATCAGCTGACTTTAGGTAAAGGAGAGGACTCTTAATGGTCTGGGTGGGCCTCATCCAATCAGCTGAAGGCCTTAAGAGGGAAACTGAGTCTCCCTGACGAGGAAGAAGCCCCTCTGTGGACTGCAGTGCCGGCTCCTTGCCTGCCCGATAAGCACGCCTCGGTATCTCTGTATCTGCACATGCACACATGTGTAGCACGGGCAGATACATGCATCTCCTAGAGGCAACCTCTCTGGAGCACCCTAGCTGAGCACCCTGGCTGAAACCCACAGATCTCCCTGGTTCTGTAAGGAGCCAGCCAGCCATTGGTGGAAACTGACTTAAGATACATTTGGTAATTCTTCAGATAAAAACAAAAGACTTGCAATAAAGATTAAAAGAAAAACTAAAATGTTCCACGGGGTGTTTGGTAGGTAGGTCATTTAGAATGAATACATTTCAGAAAAAAATGGGGGTGCTGAGTTTCTATACCCCCCAGTACCAAAAAACAGACAAACACCCATGGGTCTTGGGTCCACAGAGGGAGAGGAGTGCCCCACAGTAGGGAGGACACAGCTTGGGCTCTGGGGCCACAGCTTTGAATCAGTTCAGAGACTAGGTAAGAACAGGGGTTGGAGGCTTGTATGCATCAGCTACAGGAAGAAAGGGAGGGACCCTGAGGGGCCACTGGACAGGAGAGCTGCCTTCTGTCCACAGATAGCCTGTTGTGGACCCAAGGGTCCTAGGACCAGCCTGGGTACATCCAGAGGTAGAGCCTGGCCTGGTATGGGGACTGACCTGGCACAGAGGTGGATGGGGTCAAACATTGCACCCTACTACTACTGTGCCCAGCGAGCCAAAACAGGCTAGAATAAACCGGTCCCACAATTCCAAATATGAGGAACAAAAACTACTCACCCCTTGGCTTCCTTGAAATCGAATTGATGGTCTCAGCGAAACAGAATCCTGCATATAAGCAAAACAAGAAAATGTCAAAAGATACCTGGAATTCCAGAGACTCGCTTCCAGATATCTAAGGAGCAAGGTTAAGAGCTGTGCACTCAGAAAAGGTGAGAGAAAACACAAGTCTGAAAAAAATAGGGAAAGGTCACCAGAGCAGAGTTTTGAAGGATCAATATGAGTTCCCTGGATGGCACGGGGGCCAGGACTGAGGGTACATGAGTGGCACAAATGGAGACACAGGCAGTGGGCAGCCCCTCACCAATGTTCCCAAACTAACATCAGCCCAGGCCACCCAGCCCCACAGATATCCTTTCTAAATGGAAATAAGGGTGGATGAGCACCACCAGCCATGAAGCAGGCTGATGAGGTGACTCTGGCCCTCCACCACTGGCAGGACAGAGCCCAATGCCTGCCCAGCTCCCATGTCATAGCTTCAGAGCAGTTTGTCACTACGCTTGGGGTGGCAGAATTTCCAAATGTCATAAAATATATAGTAAAAAACTCAAATATTTTAAGCTTCAGGTATTCAGAGATCAGCCTTCTGGTAGAATTTTGGAAAGAACACGAAACCATATGGAAGGCTGCACCTCTCCTTCCCACCTACATTGGGCACAGCACCCACCTCTGTGTAGCAGATGCTGTCCCACAGTGCAGTCCTGGCTTGTCACCACAACCTCCTCCTTCAGGCCCCAAACCCATAAGGCCCAAATCTACCCCTGTGCCAACCTGTCCCCACGAGCCTCCCCCGCACGACAGCCAGGGACTGGGCTCTCCCACTTCAATCACTAAACCCAACACTCTGGCCTCCCGGCCCCACCTAGAGTGAAGGAGGCTCCCTCCTACCCCCCCATACACAGATCCTCCCTGAGTGGCTGCCTATCAACTCCCCAACCAGAATGCCAGTTACCACAGCAGACCTTGGGGAGGTGGAGTAACTCTGAGTAGTGGAGTAGCTCTGAGTGGTGGATTGGGTCCTTCGAGATTCTCAGCAAAAGAGGGGGCTTCTGGTAAAGGGGGTATGTGTGCAGCCCTCACTCAGGGTCCAAGTTGGCTGAGTTTGTCTCCCTCGCAGCAGCTAGTGGACCCACAAGCTGAGAGGCTGGCCACCTCTCAAGTCCCGGCCTGCCCCTTGGTAGTAGTGGAGTGGCCCTGTAGGGGCTGACAGCTTATAAGGTTAGGGGGGCCCTGTTGCCCTGGGCCAGGAGAATCTGACAAACTGGCCCAGGCATTGACTGTTTCCCTGTCGCCTCAGTAGCTTCTAGGTCAGGCACATGATTGCAATTAGCAAGTCACCAGGTAACCTAACTTCCCTTGAAACCCTTTGGCATGGCACTGCTGCCTCCATGCCTATCATACCTGGCACCTGAGTGGGCTACACTTCAGGCAACATCACAGCAATGCCCCAAGTCTCCTCAGACCCTCTGGGGAGGGGGGGTCATGTCATTCTCACTGCAGGCTCAGAAGTTACACCCTCCCCCTCAGGGTCTAAGCTGTCCATTGCAGCAGCTCTTGAGCAGCAGGTATAGAGGGGTCCTCAGGAGGCCCAACCCTGTCAACACTGGCCCTGTCAGGCCCCTGGGTGGTAGAATGCCATCTTCCAATAACCACAAATGGGGATGAAGCCGGGAGCAGCTCAGGAAAAGCATCATTGCTGGTGCCAAGCTTTAGCCAAGACTGGGAGTGAGCAGGGAGGCCCGGCAAACAGGCAGTGAGAAGGCCTTAATACAATGGGGTAGGGGCACCCTGCAGTTACCCAGCCCCCTGGCAGCTCCCTGTCTGGGGGGCATCACCTGAATGAAGAAGCCATATAGTAAAGATGGTGATTCGTGCAGGAGAAAACAGGTAGGGTGAAGGACAGTCATGGTCAGGGGACTGGATGGCCTGTGGGAAGAGGCACTAATGCTGGCCTGAGAACCCCCTCCCATAAGATGGGGCAAGGACAAGGAGGAACTCAAGATGGCCACAATCCCCTTCTCTCTCTCCATGGAGAAGAGTGTTTGAGGGTGAGGAAACAGGAAGTGGCTTACAAAATCACCTCCAGGTCCAGCCACAGTTCACGGGAAGCCAGTGGGTAATGCACAGTTAAACTTGAGGTGGTGGGTGATTCTGCCCCAGGAGACAATGCAACATCGGGACAGTTTTAGCTGTCATAACTCGGCTGAAAGAGAAGGTGCTCCTGGCATCTGGTGGGTAGAAGCAGGGACACTGCCCAACACCCCACAGTGCACGGGATGGCCCCACAGTAAAGAATGAGTCAGCTCCAGAAGGCATTGGGCTTCTAGAAAGCAAAGGGAGAATGATCATCAGAGCAGAACATGGGAAATTCCACAGGACCAACCTGTTGGTTTCTTCAATAGGTGGACAGCACGAGGGAAGAAAGATGAAGTGCTACAGATTACCACAGACCTGACACGCACTCTGTGTGGTCCCGACTTGAACCAGCCACCATGAAGACCTCATGGAGATAACCAGCAGAGTGCCAGCAGCTGGGGCTCTGTGTTCTCACAGAGCTGCACAAAGCTTGTATCTACATCTACTGGCATTCAATAATGTCATTAAAACAGCCATGGATAAAATGAAAGAGTATCTGGAATTGTTTTAAAAATGCTCCAGCAAAACCAAATGAATGAAGTGAGAGGGATCTTCAGGAAAGAGCTGAGACGAGACTGTCAGATGTTCAGTGGGTGAGGCTGGGTGACAGCTCAGAAACTATTATTCTCTGCCCCGTCTAACCATGAACATTCCCATGTGAAAGTTTAAATCAAAAAGTGCACATAGAAAGACTCCAGCCTCAGTGTACAGAACAGATCAAGCAAGGGCTGACCCAACTTGGGCACAGTCCTGGGATGCCTGCCACAGGCCATGCATGGGAAGCAGCAACCAAGGCTGTTCCTACCAGTCCTGAAGTGCCCACTGGCCAGTGTCGACACCGCCCGGGCAGTGCATTCCCTGACATCTTCCCGGCCTGAGGAGCCCCAGCCCTATAAGCCAGAGATGCCTGTGGAAAATGACAAAAAGCCATCTGTTCCTCCTTAAAGAGAGTCTGATTCTGTAGAGCTGGGATCCAACTTTCCTGAGCAGAGTGTAAAAAGGGAAAGAGGGGTGAAGTCCCGAGAAAAAGCCTGGCTGCTAACCTTCTGGCAACTGTCCCCCACTTTCCAGTAAAGCACAGAGGATGAGGAAATGCCTTTCAGGAACCCTCCCCAAGACTTCCTGGCAGGTTCTGAGCAGGACGTGAAGGCTGTGGAGAGTTCAGACAGTGTCTGTGACGGTGAGGGGCCATTTCCGTGAACCACAAACACAGAGGAAGGCCTGGGACATGTCCCCAAAAGGTCAGTCCACTGGGTGTGACTGGTTCAGGGCCAAGCTGGGAAACCAGGGCGGGGCCTGCACAGAGGCCCATGGCAGCCCCTCCCCTTTGGCCAGGAGGCCGGCAACACATTCAACATTACAGGACAGACTCATAAAACCAAGAAAAGAGACTCCAAGCTGCTATGAGCCAGGTGTCAATCAGGACCCACACACTGGTCAGCACAGCATGTGTTTCTGCCTAAAATCATGGAGGCGTACAGGAAGGAAGCTTAGGGACGTTTTTTAAAAAACCATGAGGATTAGAAAAACAGGTGTAAATCACCTGACACTGGCCCTGACACCCTCCCACAGGTTTTGTTTGTTCTTGGGTCAGCAAGTAACACAGCCAGCATGCTGTGCTTATACAGGCCACCTTCCTTTCTGCTGGAATCCTATGTGCCCCCACTGGCCTGCCCTCTGCAATCTCTACTGTTTTCTGTCCCTATGGCTGCACCTTTTACAGAAAGCCATGTAAACAGAATTACACTGTATTAGTTTCCTGTACCTGTTATAACAAATTACCACAAACTTGGTGGCTTAAAACAAATTTATTCTCAGTCCTAGAGGCCAGAAGTCTGAAATCAGTGTCCCTAAACTGAAATCAAAGTTACCAGCAGGGCCGTACTGCCTCTGGAGGCTTCAGGGGAGGGTCCTCCCTGCCTCTTCCAGCTTCTGGGACCCCAGGCATCCTTAGCTTTTGGCCACATCACCCCAATCTCTCCCTCTGTGACAACATCATCTTCTCTTCTTGTCTGTGTCAAATCTCTCTTTGCTTCTCTCTTATAAGGTCACTTGTGATTATATTTAGCCTGCCCCCACCCCAGATAATCCAGGAAAAACCTCCATCTCAAGATCTTATATGAGATCACATTCACAGGTTACAAGGGTTAACACCTGGACATCTATCGGGGGTCCTTATCCAGCTGACCACACACACTTAGCATAATGCCTTTGAGATGAATCCATGCTGCTGTCACTAAAGTCCATTCCTTTTACTGTTGAGTATTAACCACTTTATAATATCAGTTTGTTCATCCATTTGCTGACTGAGAACACTGGGTCATTTTAAGTTTGGGGGACTAATAAGTAAAGCTGCCATAAACATTCATGTATAGGATTTGTATGGACATGAGTTTTTATTTCACTCAGTGAACACCCAGGAGCATGACTGCTGGGTCCTATGGTTAAGTGTATGTGTAACTTCATGGAAAGCACCGAACTGTCTCCAGAGTGGCTGCACCATTTGCATTCCCGTCGGCAATAAAAGAGAGCTCCAGCTGCTCCCCAATTATGCCAGCATTTAGTGTTGTCAGGTTTTTTTTATTTTAACCATTCTGATAAGTATGAAGTGATATCTCATTGTAGTTTTAATCTGTATTTCCCTAACAACTAATAATGTGGAAAATCTTTTCATCTGCCATTCTTATATCTTCTTTGGTGAAGCTGCACAAATCTCTAATGCATTTTTAAAAACTGGGTCATGTTTTTATCACCACATTTCGAGAGTTCTTTATATATTGTAGAGCTTCATCAGATGAATTTTGCAAAGATTCTTTCTCAGTCCATGGACTGTTTTTTCATTCTCTTAACAGCATCCTTCGAAAAATCCAGAAATTCTTAATTCTGATGAAATGGCATTAATTTTTCTTTTA